GCTTTAAGCAAGTGTCAAGGAAACAAAAAACAAGGACAAAAACAACCCAAAGCACGCCAAACTGTTTCTTATGGATAGCTAGACCTAGCGTAGAAAAGATGCAAAAAGCCTTGGAGTCTTTTACGCCACTACATCACCCCATGAGAGTTTCCCAGAACATTTTCTAATAATATTTTAAGCACATTTTCCAATTTGCCTACCTAGGATGCTGCTGTGCAGATTTAATAAAATCAAAATATGCTTTTCCAAACATTTTTTGTGCTACCCCCAACCCTAAGCTCTCCCCTGCCTCTCTCCTGCTCAACCTTTACCAAAATAGAAGTGAATCACCGCATCCGGCACGTGCTCATTGCTTGAAGGAGCCTGGGAAGGGGCCGGCGGCTAACGCAGCCCCTGCAGACCCCAGCTCCTCTTGTCCCAGGAGGGGACTGGCCGCAGGAAACATTTTAGGGGGCTGGTGGCAAACAGAGACAGGTTTTCTTCCAATCTTCCTATTCTGAAGATAACTTTTAAGCAACTCAAAGCATTCTTTTTTTTTTTTTCCCTCCACGTGTGACTTATGTAGGATGGCATATTTCCAAATAATAAATCAATAACTTCTGCAGCTTGTTATTTCTCCGTGTGTCATGTGGAATAGAGCTGAGCACAGCATTTTTCAGCGAGCACCCGCCAGCCCATCTCCAACGAAAACAGAAACCCGAACCCAGCCTCCCAGCGCTCGACGCTTCACTTCTGATGGTCGCCTCTTGTCTCCGGCCACGATAAAGATGAAATATGTTCATGCCTAAGCGGAGCGATGAGCCACTGGAGGGAAGGGAAAAAGCCCTCCACACAATAGGAGAAAGAGCCTTTTTCATTAGTTATTTCTCTTTTATTTTCCCTAAATGACATGCATGGTAGGCTGCTGGGATATGGAGCCAAATGAGAAATCCTGAATATCCAAGATGCTTTAAAACATTGCAGGTGATAACCATGGCTACAGACATTTCACAGACCGTACAAACTGCGTATCATCACATCCTGCAACAAATTCAGGGCTTTTCGCGTGTTTGTTTTTTTGTGTGTGTGTGTGTTTTGTTGTTACATCATCCACAATATAGTCCGGACCATCAACCTTCTCCACCTATTCTCCAGAAACAGTAAAACCTCTATACCTCTGGAAATATTTGCAGAGCTTTAGATGACTGAGCAAACATTTTGCAGGACATGTTATCTTTATGAAATTAAGTTTTTCTGTGTGAGCTGGCTGGGACATCAAACTCACCAGGGACCGTGCCAGAAAACAGACTTTGCTCAACACCTGAGAACATGCCAGTTGATCATGCTCCAAGTCTTTTTTTTTTTTTTTTTGAGGCTCAACCTCAGTTATTCGTCAATTTTTAAAACAATAAAAGGATGTCCTCGAAATTGAAATCTGGCATGTAAACAAACCGCGAAGTAGAAAATTAGGCAGAGAAGTTTCAGCAGCAATGCCCGTGGGATGGAAAGCTGCAGGACTTCTCAAACTTTGCAAAAAATCAGCTGAAAACAGGAAGAGGAGGGTGGGGGTGAGCCAAAACAATGAGTACCAGAAGGCTGCCTAACCATCAGGACAGCATGGGATACGTAATGAAATAAACCCCTGCGTTCCTGGCCCTCTAAGTGCCAAGGATCTGAAAACTCAGTACTCAGAGCAGAGTTCTGCAGCAGAGGCAAGATGCTCTGAGGGAAGCCAACAAGACGAAGCACCGTGAGGACATCTGGCCTTACACCAGGGCCGTACCAGTCAATGGGAGACCATCTGAGCAAACCACGTCCTCGCTTTGCGAGGAGCCTGCCAAAGGACACACGTCCTCCTGCCACCCAGAGAGGGCACGGCACCGACTGTGGCAGCACCCCTAGCAGCCACCAGCAGCAGGAGCACAGCCCCTCAAACAGCCTGCTGCCACCAACCTGCTCTGTGGGGCACATGGGAAGGAGAAAAACACCCTGGCTAAATGGTGAGGCATTCCTGCAATAACAATCTTTAAATCTTAAAGGGTAAATCATTACCCTTTTGAATCCGCGAGTTTGCCTACACAGATATATCAGAATTTATGAGCCCAGGCTTCACCGCATGGTTAGCGCTGGTCTCTCCTGTACTCTGCTGTCATCTGCTAAAGCACATTGCCATGCATCGTGAATCACCACCGGGTCTTCCTCAGCTATCCAGCCAAGGGGCGGCTGTCTATGAGGTCTTCGCATCTGTCCTGGCCTGGAGCAGGCTCCTGGTGGGCAGCAAAACTGCGACCACTCTGACAGAGGCACCAGGCTGAAGACAGACAGCCAGAGGATGCCTCGGACGGTTGTGTGCAAACAGCTGGAAATAGCACTGTCTTCAGACAGACGGTTTAAAAAAAGATTTGTGACGCGCATTGTGTTAGGTTTCACCAGGAATCATAGAAGGAAAAAAAGAAAATGAGGTTAAAATAATCCCACGCCTGCGCTAGATCGCTTTACGGTGGGGATTCTGGTTTCCATAACATGAGGGGTATGTCATAGCAACAATTACATCACTGCTATATACCATTCTTGCACACAATTTCTACTACAACTTTAAGAAAAACCCTTGGTGATTACTGGAATTTGTCCTTTCTTCTGGCAGAAATGTCCAGATAGCTTGGGTAATGCTGTCTGCCACCTCCTGTAAGCTCTGAAGATACAAGAAGCCTCTCTCTGGAAGCAGAGGACACCTGCACATCACCAATAACCCCACTGGTTTTTCAGCACAGAATACATCAAATAAATCCTTGCAAGCACCAAATATCTCTGACTTTTGCAGCTCAAGGTAACGCAACTACTTTGCTGTCTTGAAACACAATATTAACTACCCTGTCTTCATTTGTAGACTGGCTATTATTATTAAAAAGCAGATTAATCTTTGGGCCAACGAGGAACAAAGGATGTTCTCAAGTCCCAAAATCTGAATACGTATCAACACTTTTCTTCTCATCAGATGCATTCCTCTACATGCAGCACATAACCCCCAGAAGAACAAGAGAAAATGATGTAACTGTGAGAGTCAACCAGGAATTAGCACTCATGCGGCTGTGCAGTGTATTTATACTTGCAGGAAGCAAAAAATGAAGAGATGAGCATATTTTCCACTGGCAGAGACTGCAAATGACGTGCTCCAGCATTAAGAATTGGAATGAGTACTGGGGAAACAGATGCCCCTGAAACTGTTCCTCTCATCCATATAGAAAATATGGACTTCAATGACTTCATGCACTTGACAGATTTATTGTAGAAAGCTAATTAGGTCATTGGTTATAAGCTGGCCCAGGGAGAATTAGAGGCACATTCCTTCCACCAAACTGCTGCTGTCAGGAGCTCTGCATATACCCCAGATCCAGGGTGGAGCACTGACCTGCTAAGAAATCCCAGCCCGAGCACAGGAATTCTCTTAGGGATGCTGGCATCTCAGCTTGTTCCCTCAACTGCCCTGAAATCCCACCTCACCAATGTGCATCCTCCCTCCAGCTTTCAGGAAGGGTCCTCCCTACCCAAATCCCTTCTAGAAAGTCTATTGGTTATCTTCATAGAAAAAAAAAAGCATATTGACTTTGCAGCAGTCTCTTAGTTTGCTCTTATATTGTGGCTAATTGTAACCCAGACCTGTTTCCTAGAATACAGTCAGGTTTCCTCAATAGCTTCTCACAACATCCATTGAAGGGTGCATCAGAATATACAGAACCAGCTACAAAACTGAAATAAAACATTTAGTGGCTCCACTCCATCTTCTTGATGAAGAGAGCTAAGACAGAAGGGTCAAACTCTGCAGCAAACAGCCCGATAATGATCCAGCTGGGGCTACATTGCTCATTTTTGCCCTTCCTGTATGCCCATCCCTTTTCTGGCTTTCCAGATATCTTGTATTGCTTATCTCTTATAATGCAGGGGCCCAAAGAAAAGCTATCAGAGTTTCTGGGAAGGGCTGGCTTAATTCTCTGATCTCAGCTGGACTCAGGCTGCAGAGTGCAGTTCATCAAATACCAGCTCTGCTGAAACTAATGATAAGGAGGATTTCCATTGACCCCACCCAAAGAAGAATTTCACCTGAAAGAAGGGCATGTGGACTGGCATTAAAAAAAAAAAAAAAAAAAAAAGCATTTTGAAGGTCTATAGCATCTACTGTACTTTTAAAATATTTCTTTATATATATGTATACACATATACATATATTTAATTCTTCCGAAGGCATCTTCTATCAGTCACTGTCAGGGACAGGATACTACGGAAGACAGACTGCCTTTTATTCAGCCCAATTATCCATTGCGCATTCAAAAAATGACACGTACTTTAGCAGTTGTCGTGTCCTGCTTGTTAGTAACTAACAAATGATGTTTGGAAAAGCCTCCTCTCAGCCTATTGAGAAGCTATGTCATTTTGTGGTATATGTTACCTGTTAAATTATAGCCTGTACTTTTGTCATCTCTCTTACAGCCCATTAATCTGAGGCTGAAAAGAAACACCCAGTCTTGACGAACCTAAAGTAAAGCTTAAAGTTCAACCTCTCCTAACGTGACACTGCTATCAGAAGGATCTCAAGTCCGACCTTGCAGGATGTGTTAAATTTTCAATAGGTGCAGACATATAGTACATGAGATACTAAATTATACAGCAGCAAGTCCAGACAAAGGCAAGAAAGAGATTGCTCACTGACAAATCCTCCGAGCATATAATAGACAAAAGAACGACAGTTCAGGTCTCCATGATGTTTGGGGCTGCTTCTGTTCTGCACTCACAAAGGGCCTGGAAAGCAAGCATTAATTGGCAACAGCAAATCTCTGGATTTTATCTTATAGGTAGCAGTAAGTAATCTGATAAATAAAAAATATGATGATAGAAGGTAAATATGAATAATTTACACCTTTTAACACAAAGAAATTAGTGAGACAGTTGAAGAACTCTGGGTCCATTGGTGCTACAAATTCATGCCTAAGTTCACTGCATTACAGAGTAAGTATTTACAGACCTACCTGTTCGAGTTTAAAGATGTGTTGGTTGAAGTAGTGCTGCAAGCGCTCATTGGCAAAGTTAATGCAGAATTGTTCAAAACTGTTATTCTCATAGTCTTCAAACCCAAAAATATCAAGTACTCCAATGGATAAAGTCTGGAAGGAAAATAAGAATGCAGTTTAAAAAAGAAAAACATCCAAAGTGAATGGATTATTTGTATGCAGTACATCATCAAAGCCATATAAACATAGTTAAATATACTTAATAGCAGGACTTTTAATTTTTATTGGAACTGTTAATATTACACCATCTGGAAGACTTCACTTACATCAGAGAGACAACATGTAACTTTAGAGGTCTGGACAGATGGCCTTTTTTTTTTTTTTTAAATAAAAGTCCTTTCAGAGATAATTTATAGAAAAATTGCCATCTTTGAAGAAACTTGAACCCAGTTCCAGGTTTTTCTATTGGATCTAATATAGCAGTTTGGGGGAAAACAAGGGTAGGATTGGAAAAGAAGCTCGCACCATGAAGATAGTGCACAGAAACAGGCTTACAAGATAGACAGAGTGTCTATATAAACACAGCCCAGCTGTAAGCCTTCCAAAGTGCTTGTCTGAACCTCCTCTAGCCTGCCACAACTTCTTGAGACAGGCATCAAGACGTGGGTGCACCAAGAGTTTTTATGTGATGTCGCTGTGAATTCACAGCTTTCTTTGCAACCTGTTTCTGCTATATGTGGTTCCTGTGTTTCACAAAACTTGAGAATCCAGAACCTCTGCAGTCAGATGGATTTGAGGAGCACAGGGGAAAAGGGAAGTGGGGCTGTGGCAGCATATAAACCTTGCTCGCCTTGGTAAAGAGCAGCTGAAGTAAGCATAATTCCTGCTGCAGCATTCAAGCCTGTATAGAACTGTTCCGTCAAACAAGTAATTAATAATGAGTTACAAATAAAACTCAGCTTGTCCCTATCTAACAAGTATATTGCCCCCTCCACAAGGAGCACTGAGCATGAAGGGCATGTGCACAGAGCTCCAGCAGCTCACCGTTAGCAGCCTTTGCTCTTCAATGAGCTCCCACGTCTAGCCATCATCCCACTTGTGCACAAAGTGCTCTGTTCATATATTATAATTAATTAAATTAAAATAGTTAGAGAAGTAAAAGCATTAGCACTGGTCAAGTGACCCAAAGCTCAAGCAAGGAGGCAAACACCTCTCTGCTTCACCCGTAAGAACCCACGAGCTGCTGGGCATCATGTTTTTAATTTTATTGGTCTTATCTATGCTAAGGATTTTGTAAAACCACCTTCCTAAGGCTGGTGTTATTCCACTGCCAGAAATATAAACCAGACTACCCACAAGGCTCTCCACGCTGCAGTTTGACAGTTTTCAACAGATCACATAACGTGGCAGTAAAATATTCCTTCTGTACTGGGTCCATAAACAGAGAGACACCTAAAACTGAAGGAGATGCAGCTGCCGTGCACTGGGAAGCCACACTTGTGAGTTGAAGCTCTGGGGACTGTGGCTATGCTAACAGTCACACACGCAAAAGCACAACTGAAAAAGCATATAAAGCACAGCAGGAACACTCCCAAGTGCGCCTAGACCATTTTTCCAAAAGGTCTTTGGCCCCTTTATCCTCCTCTTGCCTGATGTTGAGGTTTTCCTCCCTATTCCAGGGCCGGATGGGTTTTACCTCCTCACCCGCAGCCTTGCCTGTTACAAGGACGACTGTTGAGAGCCCTTGGCCAGCTTCCCAGAGGTTTGAATCCCCCTGGCAAGACGCCTGCAAGAAACAGCCATTTGGCCAGGAGATGGAAATTGGAAGCCTCAGGACCAAGGATGGAGCCTGGCAGAGTGATCGGCTCATGCTCCTTCCCCTGCACATCCTAACGATTCGTTCACGGACCCATTCATTAACCCTCAGACTGAGAGGTAAATATATATATATTTTTTTCTTAAATCTCCTTTAGTTAGCAGATCACTTGTTTTATCTATAGGATACATAAAGATGATGATGGAAACACCAGATAGTGACTATTTTGAATCCACGGTACTGATCAGCCATCCGCATCACCCTTGTGTAGGCAAATCACAACCCCAACTCTTCCACTGCCATGCAAACTTTTCTGTACAGTGCAAAAGAGCTCCCAGAATGACTCAAGATCAACATCTTTATTACTGCGACCAAAAACAAGACTTCCAAGAAATAACTGTTCCCACTTTCAGAGTCCTCATCGCAGTGCCTATGCGGGCTGCACACGTTTTCATAAGCATTGCGTTGTTTCTGTGTGGACATTGCTAAGCCCCTACCTTGAATGAACACTTTAAATTAAACACAGACAGCCTTTCACAACAAAATTTAACATGAAATAGCTGAGCACAAATAACCTCCCCCTGTTTTTAGTGCTGATGAAGTTACTGTGTCCAAACCGCTACTGAAATACTTTTTAATGTGCTGTATGCAAGTAAGTTTATAAAGCAAAATAGAGTTATTAGATATAGAAAAAGTGACTATTTCACTTGTAAAAGAAGAAGCCTATTAAAAACGTTTCATATTTTAAAGTTCCTTTTCTTCAAGTTTCTATGAAAGTGCCACAAAAAACAAGCTCAGAAGTAAGGTGCTCAAACAATGCTGTATTTGACATCACTGCAGCCGTACAAGATGAGCATGGCTGGGGCTGTCCTGGTTGTCCCACTGGGCAAAGCAGCAGTTCCCTCATCTCACCTCAGTTGCGCCCAGCTCCTGACTGCTTTTGAACAAGTAGATTTGCAGTGTGGCTTTAGCCACACACTTTCATGCAGGAGAAACAAGGGCAGTGCTCTGTGGTTTGCTTTCTGGTGTGGAAGGCAGAGCCGTGGAGTTCCCAAAAGAAAGAGGTCAACATGTTCAAGTTGGTCCAGCTTTTGAAAACAAGAACTTGTGAATTTCTGTCTATTTCTCTGCCTCCTGAGCTGCTTTCCTCCAAAAATCTCACTCTACATACACACAAAAGGGTTGTATTGTTTTTTCCGTTATAAAACAGCACAAAACCTTTCACCAATACAGCCACTTCTAACAGAAAGTTGAAAAAATGATTTCCATTGAGGTGTGAATGAGTGAAATTTTTCTGTTAAAGTTCCAGACTCCTTAAAGCATGTAATCTGGGATTAAGTTTACAGCCCAATATATAATGAAAATAATCAAAGGAGTTTTAAATTTAAAAATCTGTAATGCTTCAGTTTCAAATTCAGACTTCGAACAACTGCCATGTGGAAATCATGCCAAGATGCAACACAATTTAGATTTCATGAGCTGAAGTCTAGCTTATGTCTTAATCTTGTTCCTTTACTGAAACTAACATTTAAAGAGAACAAGTGCGCAGCAGTGACAAGCCTGCGAGTGCGCAAGCCTGCAGCAGGACCAGCAGCAGACGAGCGCACCAGTATACCAATCTATAGCAAAACTCCCGTAATTAAAAGCCTACGTCTACAAGGATTTTGAAATTTGTGCGAGCCCTGGGCTAGGAATCACTCTGTAGTTGAGATAAAAGTGGCCTCGCTCTTTTCTGGAAATGCCACAGCTGTGAATCAGGGAGCTAAATGCCACGCAGGGGCCTCGAGGGCATTCTGCAAATGACAGCCTTGGAGCTCAGTGCTCCACAGCTCCCAAATTACCTATAAACATCGACTGTCGGAGCTGACTTATTGTACCCCGAATGCATGCTGGTGATGTCATTCCAGCTCTGAGGTACTCTTTGGCAATTACAAATGGGTTTGTTTCAAATTCTGGGGAAAAGGAATAAAATTAAACAATATTCCAACGCAAGCCAATACTGTAAATACAGAAAACCATCACCAATAAATCTAAAAGGATTACTGCAATTTGTATCACCACAACATACACGGTGACATATGATATCAAGTGTGAGGCAGAGATTTGTTATGAATTTGGAAGTTGGGACCTGAAAACGATGAACAGATGCGCACTAAACCCATGAAGCGCTCAGCAATTCTTCCTCTGTTTCAGGTCAGACAGCCAGGAATGAACTTAGTTGATTAATTTAAATTATTTAGAGGCCATGAATTCACATTCACCGTCATAAACACTTACAGAGCACCTCCGCTGAACACAATGGGGTTATTTAGCAGGAAAGGAAGATGCTTCACAAGAACCAAATGGGAAAGCTTAAAAACCCCCTTGAAAGAAACGTCTCTCGTTCAAACATGATCTGTACTATATCATCATTTTAAGCGGCAAGACGGACCTCTAACAATTCTTAACCTAATTTATGGAGGGGAAATTAAATAAAAGACTCTCTGAGGTTTAGTAATCTAGTTCTCATGAGGAAGAAACGTCTCCGACCTCATTAATAAAGGTCAAATTTCGGACAGCTTGTAGGGTATCACGAGCAAAGCCATTATCAGAACAGAAACTAAAAGCTAAAGGGAGAAGACCAAGGAAAACGGAGAACACACCAGCAGCGAGTCATAGTGAAACTCGTACGTAGTAGTGCTGCTGTAAGCATAAAACAGCCCGTTTCAAATGACTATTCACAACTCAGCTCAGATATAATGCACTACAAGTCCTGCCAGCAAGCGAGATAAGCCAAATCCTACTGTGCTTTCCCAAAATAATTCACTGTACATTTAACTAAATTTGGATATCAAAGGTCTGATTTACATCTTTCAAATACTAGCTTGAAAAACAGTGGAAGAGTGATGACCGAGTGTTTATTTTTTTTAAATCTAGCTTCATCTCTTGATCTTCTCCTTACTGCTGATAATAAATAAACACACATACTGGGATATAAAAAATCTCTCCATTCCCATTGTCCCAAGTTCTCTTGGGGCCACAGACTTTGTTAGGACCTAGGTCTTCTTCCCACCTATCAACAAAACAGCCCTCCAGAGATTCAAAAACCACCACCAGTTTGACCAAGTCTTGGTCTACAGAGGTTTGCTTCAGTGGCCAGCTGCTCTTCCCCAGCAAAAAGGCTTTGCAGGGTACAGAGATAAGTTTTTACAGCACGCAGAGCAGGGAGCAATGCAGGATTTCATGTGCCTGATGAAGATGCAGCTGTGTGTTTGGAATATTTGTCTCTTTCTCCAACTTCATCATGCACCAGCAAAATCCTGATCTACCACAATCAGGCAAATGACACCTCTGGTTGAGCTTGTTTCTGCAAAGCCTATATGAGCTGGAATCAAGGGCTTTTAAAGGGCAGCTGAGTACGAGCACTGAAATCAGACTTTATGCTCACAGACATCCTTTCATCTTCACTTCCGTCACCAGCCTCAGATACAGTTCTGCTCCCACATACACTCTGAGTTCAGATGGTTTTGAGTCTTATTTTACCTATGCAAAACATGCCTGCCACACAAGAAGTTATTCTGAGTTTGAGACCCAAAGTCTAATGGCCTGTAAGCATCTACAGTTCTGCCCTGCTGTGACAGGCTAATAGCAAGCAAATGGTAATGTCCCAGCCTGACTTTGTATGTAAATATTATGGAACACATACTATTTGGAAAAAAAATCACCAATATTGGATCATTAAACAAAACAATCAGTATCTGAGATGCATCTCCTTGCCAAAGGAATCTACCTTTCATGTTTCACCAAATACACAACTGTCTTTTTTCCTGATGGCCCAGACAAAACTTTTGATGACTTGAAAAAAATCAGGGAAGAACACAATGTTTTCTGTAAAATGTTAAACAGAAGGAAAAGAAGCACATTCAGTCTGAAGATTCACTAGACATCAACAGCTTCAAAAAACTTCCCTTGTCAGTAGTGTCACCGCAATACATTAAAAACAAACTTTATACAAACACATTTATTTGCGGTCTATAATTACTCTCCTCTAATCACCACAAGCATTTCTGTGCAGTTAGATGAAGGATCGGCTACACTGCAAGCCGCTGCGACTTCGCTCAGTCCTCCAGCATGATTCAAACACAACGTTAGCACTCAGTGAAACAATCCTCTTGGCAGCTTCAGCCTGGATGTATGACCCAGAAAAAAAAAAACAAAACACAAAAAACGCAGTGCTGGCCTGAGCCCAAAATTTCCAAGCCAAGGGTAGCTGGCAAGCTGCAAGCGCGTGAGTGCGTGTCCACATATATACACGTACATGCTCCGAAAGCTTCTCGAGGGTCAGCCCCTGTTCTGAGCGTGGATGAACATGGGACAGGTTTGGGAACACTGGAGCAGAGAGGATGTCCTGGGTCACCGTGTCCAGCCCCTGCTATCGCAGGAAATGTCCTGTAATCCCTTCCATAAATTCTTTGGGAAATCGGTTAGGCACCGTGCTGATTTCACTCTTCCCGTCATAGAGCTTTTCCCTAATTTTGCTCTTCTGCGAATCAGAGAGGTCTCTTACCTTGCTATCTCCCAATGCGACAGGTTTTTAACTTTTTTGGATTATTCTTATTGAACAACTTCATCGAAACACCTCACGTTAGCAAGATTTCCAGTTTTTCCCTCAATTACATGTGGTCCTACAGACTTACATGAGGAGGAAGAAGGACTTGGCATTGCTCCTGGAGGGGGTGGGGGACTAGGCTTTTGTGACTAAACCAAACCCTTTTCTCCAGCTGCTTTGAGGATATATTATTTGAGGCGCTTCTCTGTTCCTGGCTCAGCAAACACCACTTAAAATAATGATATACTCAGTCCGAAATATTAACAGCAATGTTCCACGAGGAAAAGTTAACTTTACGTTAAGCAATTTGCCACTAGCAGCTTGTGTAATGTTTTATCCCGTAGTTACCTATTTTAAAACTGAAGTGCATAGCCAAAATAGCTGGCAAGACGTTACCTTGGTGCTTTCCTCCATGTCCTTCGAGTTCAGGAGTGCATGGTTAATCCTGAAAACTATCCAGTCGAAGAGGGCACTGTATAATGATTTAGCCATGGAGTTTCGCACGGTCACAGCCTGAAAGGAAAAAAGGAAAAGGGCGATTGGAAATGATTCATGCTCTGCACTGAAACGTGTTTCACCTCTTAAGCAACCACGTACAATGTTCGTATTTTGCCCTCGCCAAAGCTTTTGTCTACTGTTCTAGTTTATGTTGCATACACCACTGGTCCTGAAGCCATCGGGTGTTTGCTGTGATCCCTACGCTGTTCTGCTCAGCCGAACCATGAGATGTGCCCTAGACTTTAGCTTGGCTTACCCTGGTGCATTCAAGTGGATGATGCATGAGATCACACAATAAATCCCATCACCAACGGAGAAAGGAAATAAAAACAAAACGTGTATTTAACTTCACCAAGAGGACCGCAGATTTATTTGTGGAGAAGGGAAGAGGAGGGGGAATACTGCACAGCAACCATCAAGCAGGGTGGAAGCGTGTGTCGGGGCAGGCACCGCCTGGTGCCAGTGGGAGGCTGAAACCCACATAGTAAATCTGTGAACGGCGCTGAATATCCCAAGCTTTCCAGGCACTACAGCTCTCCTAGAAAGAGAACTAACGCTTCCCCAGAGGGGCCTCAACATCACAGTCCTCTCAACCACGACATGAGAGATTTCTCTCGATTGACAGTGATGAAGACGACGTGTAAAGGAGGGTCACCAGCCCACGTTTCTCCACACTGCACGTGCTTTGGCACAGGTAGCTACACACCAAGCCAGAAAGCAGCAATTCATACTTAAGGGCTATCTTTGCTTGTGATTCCTTGGTTTAAATTTTTACCTTGAATTGTATTATGGTGCTTCTGCACATACTAGTCACCCAAAACCTTGCAATACCAGCAGTGACCATCAAGTCATGGCTTGGTTTTAGCTGCTATGTAAGAAGAAAGAAGGAAACAGGGTTCATACACAACTAATTCAGTAAAACCTTGAACCATAACAAATCAGCAGCTTTGTATACATCGCATTGAAACCCTTCCCACCAGACCTCTAACCAACATACGAGAGCTGTGCAGCCTCATGACACCAACCTGAAGCAAAAGAGCTAAGCTCACGTAGCATCATTTGTTTTCTCTCAGCTTGCTTCCACCAAAAGCTCCCTCTTTTCCCCTAAATATTTTGGGATGACGTCTTTAACCATGATAGCATGCTCTTCTGCCAATGTTTTGCTCCTACATGCAATTAATTCAGTCTGTGGTCCTCTGTCTAGTAGGTTGCAAGTGGGGTACCAGGAGCCCAAGCATGCCACCCTAAGGATGTTCACAAATCCCTGCCTCTGCACATTGACACTCAGCCTGATGTGGCCACAGCCGTCTCTTGCTTGGTGGCAATAAACACTGCCAGATAAGCAACGTAGGAGGGCTAATTATGAAACATTACAACAATTAACGAGGAATCATTTTGGGGAATCACTTGTCCCAAACCAGCACTGGGATGAACCAAAACCAAGGGTAGGATGGAAATACGTGAGCAGTGGGGCCGAGCAGTCTTGTGCTGCAGATCAGCACGGTGCCTTCAAAGGCCCTGGGCGAGCTGCTGAAACATTGGGGTTATCCAACAAGCACACTGGAAATCAGCTGGCACCTGGAAATTCACACAGGGTTATGTATTTTCCAGTAACTGCTTTCTCTTCCCTTTACTGAAGGAAAGACCTGGGGGAGTTCAGAATTTTTCTTGTTTATATTATAAGCAATATGGAAGGGGTATTTTTTTCCCCAAAAAATCGTGTGGGGAAAGATTTCAGTCATTAATGCAGAACTACCTCCATGCTCTCTCTCAGCCTAATTAATCTGGTAATGCTAGAAAACAACTGGTGCCACTGTCACCCGCTGCCACCAAACAAACCTGTCCCTGGGGAAGGACAAAGGCTAAGGCAGAGACGCTTCTCACTGCTGTAATGATCCGTCCAGCATAAACCAGTCCAATTAACTGGTCTGACACAAAGGCATGCAGTTAAAACCAAAAACCATTTCTATATAAAGCCAATGAAGAAGAGCATTGTTTCCTCTGTACAGTCCCATATGGTTTTCTATTACAATAGACTGTTTTTCTCCCCTCTGTTATAACGGAGAGCTGCTCTCCTTGCTCTGCTCCGGACCCAGGAGCCCCAGCACGACAAAAAACCCCAATCTCTGATTTCCAACAGTTATTTTTACACACCATGTCTGTAGCAGACAAGCTGGCAAAAGCAACATATATAGAATAAGAGGCAGGGGGATGCGTATGTACACATGGATCTCATTTGCGAACTTGTTGGCTCCTTATAAGCCAATTTCTTCTCTTGTTTGTACCAACAAATCCCGATAACTCTCGGCAGCCACGCTGCCACCCTGGGCTTGCTGCAGCGCCTGGCCCCGTGCACGCAGCATCGAACCATGCAACACCTGCAGAGACATGCACCTACTGCAGCTGACTGGTTTTTAGCACTTCTTCGCACTTCAGCAAGGTATTTGTTCTTCAGAACTGATCCTGCATGATGTTACATTATAGATAAAGTCCCTTCTCTAGCCTAAGTACATATAAACTGCACGAGGGAATATTGTTTCTTTCCAAATTAAGCTGCTACAATTTCAAGAACACGGTATCGAGCTTTCCCCCAAATTGCTGAAATGGATCGCTTTGGAAACAAGTCTTCCACCTCCTTTTTTTTTTGTTCTTTTCTTTTTTATCTTTGGCATTCATCTTGCATTGCCACATGCCACCGTGCAGACAGTTTAAAATAATGTCAGCCCATAAAGCCCTTTAAATGCAGAAAGGCTAAAAGAAAACCCACACGGCAACTTGTCCCCTTCAGCACGTCTCGCTCTTATTTTCTCTGCTCAGTGGGATAGCATTGCTGACGAGAGGCTGTGTAAAGGATGCTCTGCCTGCCCAAACCTCCCTGTTGTTCACAGCACAATCTGGTGCACAATATTCAGGACTTGCTCATAATTACTCAATAAAGGAATTAGCCACACACTCACATCCACTCTGATGCAGCAAAGCATTTAAAATACATGCTTACAAATCTTTTCTGTTTGAGGATTTGAAGGCTTTAACTTTTCCTGTGTGATTTAGTGATGGCATTTTCTTCTTTCCAAAGTGCTGGCACTCAGACATAATCAATGCCACCAAGCTCACGACATGCAAATGCTGCATGCATCGTACACAGCTGAAACAGTTTGTACCTGGATTTATTAGAGAAGTAAGAGAACAAACATGCACGGCCTGCTGAAGGCAACACACAACTTTTAACTAGCACGTATGTTAACTGGGGATGCCCTTTGAAATACACGGCACATAGTATGCATGTATGGCTTGTCTCCACCTAGCCTCCCTTCCTTTGCTTTTACTGATTTATAACCTAATTCCTCTAAGATCACCACATTATAAGTCCTTCTGATTTAACTCACATTTTTAAACTGAAAAAAGGCAAAAAAAAATTGCTTACAGCAAACTCTCAACTACACAAAAACAAATGGAAGCTCTACAGGCTGCTCTACCAGTTTCTTTGGTCTTTGCAGTTGTGAAAATAAATAGTCCCATGAAGTTCTTCCAGGGAATGGTTCAAAATTCCTGCTTGGTATTTTGAAGCAGCATTTGTGTCATCTCCAGCTTCTTGTCTCTTGCATGTCTCGTTACGTGACCATTTAGGCAGATCTCTAACACTGCAGCACTCATAAAATTCACTCACAAAGCAAAATAAAAATAGCTCATGCGATGCCAAAACAATCTCTCTGGGATCAAAGCAAGCACAACATCTTGCACACACACAGAAATATTGCTTACTGATTCAAAAACAAAATAGATCAAACGCTCTTGAATGTGGTGATGCAGGAAATAAACTGAAGACAAGGTTTTAATCAATAGGTTTCCTGCAGATAGGACTGGCAAGGAAGAATATTTGATTACAGGCATTGCTGCTTAGACGCTAGAGGTGCCACTTGCTAGGGCTGGCCAACATTCCCTACTAAGATGCTTGGTTTTGTTCATAAGATTGCATTGCCAAAGCAAATGGCCCTTGAGTTTTCATGATGGGCATTAGATTCAGGCTAATTTAAAAGCAGATCTACTTTTGGAAACGTCTTCTGCCACAATGAACAAGGGGCGACAGACTGAAGAATTAAAATCTCTCTTTGAAGCATTTTGGAGCACGGACTTCAAGTCTCGGTAGCGGCAGCCTGTGTTTTAGAGATGGCAAAAGATATAATCTTAGAAAACCAAATTTGCTCAAATTAAAAGCCTCTGCAAAACACATTGGTAGACATTCAGGTTGTTAATTCCTAAGATTACAAAGTCTCTTGACATACGAGCTCATCTTCTGTCTGCTGGTGCTCACCAGACGCCCTATCTGCCACCCCCAGCACCATCGCCCTGGCGCTGGCCTCCCAAATTCCTGCTGCCCTGCTCAGAAGCAGTGACTCAAACAGCAGGAACCAGAAAAAGGCCGTACGTGGTGACGTACAGGGTGGTATTTTAGCACACCCTCTTTCTGCACTGCTTCTGTGAGGGGGGTGGGACGGACAGAGCTGGTACAAGAAGAACTCAGGTTGTTAATAAATGCCAGAATGGTTTCTTTCACCTTGTTAAGTATTCAGAAGCCACAGGAGCTTACACGTAGATGACCTAGTTGAAATCATCCTTTTTGTTTCCTACAACCCTGGTTAAATCAGCAGCTTTTTACTCATTCTGACACAATGTTTGCTTTAAAAAAAATAATAACTGAAGGGAAATAATTTCATGCCAGAAGCTGCAGTTTAGCCAGGTTAATTTTATGGCTTCAAATACCAAAGAAAAAAATGCCACAAATTTAGTGCTTCGTGAGCAAATGTGTCCCTTCACTTTCATGCGTGTGTACTGGATGTACCAAATCTAAAAATCTGAGTAAAAAAAAAAAATATATTCTTACTTCTTATTCCTCTTAAAAATCTCACGTCTTTCCCCAGCATGCCCCCCTGAACATACCCAGAGCTCCAAGACTTCCAGAAATTGTGAAATTCCTGCTTGGGGCTTGTATTTGTGCAAAGTCCACGCTGTCACCG